TGATGTGCCAGTGTTTTCCTATATTTCGATTCTGTGACTCAAATTATGCCTAAATATTAAATTTTGTAAAATTTGGTGCGAAATTTACTTAGAAATTCAAAAATTTTTCTTTACATATTTTTTTTTTCAGATTGCGCCAAGAATAATTTACTTTCTGAACTTCTTAATTTATATTATAGCAACCTATTTTCCTTTCATATTTTTCATTGCAGGCATGTGGGAAAAAGTCATCGTTCATACTTTCAAATAATTTTAACAAAGTTCGTAAACCACATTTGGTATTATTATCGCTAATAACATGTATGCCAAATTTCAAAACGTGCCAATATGTAAAGTCATATATATCTTAGAAAATTTTGAATAAAAAACTAATTTTTTGCCCAGAAATGCATCTACTTTAAGATGATGTTAAAAATTGTATAGATTATAATTCAAAATTTTTTTGAAAAATTTGTAAAAATTATTTAAAAATACAAATTTTAAAAATAAATCATAAAAGAATGTCTGAATTTTTTTTGGAATAAACCTAAATTTTGAAATGTGAAATGAAAAATCAAACAAGTTGAATAAAAAAAGAGGTATTAAAAATATACACAAAATTAAATTAATATTGAGAAGCTAAAATTTTGAGAGCTGGTTTTTTTAAAAACTACTTATGTGATTTTTACAAAAATGGGCAGTTTATGTAAAAATACTTATATTAGAACAATGTTGTATACAAGTCTAATATTTATCCTAAGTTTCGCGTTCAACACATGAAAAATGCAAATTGAATTTCATCAATCGGCGCAGTAAAACAAGAGTTATAGAACTGTCCTTTTTTTCCCCCCACATTGTACAATTTTAATAATAATAAATAAAATATTGATATCTATTTTCAGAATTGTGGACCAAATAAAATCAAATTATGTTACAATTTCCTTCTAACATACACTGCTTGACATTGAAAATGCAACACCAAGAAGGAGTGGTCAGAAATTTCTGCAAATTTTAGAGTAGACGCACGTCACTCAGTTATGCGAATGATGTGAAATGCGCAGCTCTCCGACACACATGAAGTAAGATATAAGGGAAGAAACATGCAGAATGGGTAATATTCGTGTCGTTATTTCTGCCAGACAAATTATCGAAGAAAGTTGGTTTTTATCCCGGAGGATACATATGGTAGGAGAGAATGCCAGCCTGCCGTCAACAAACACGCTTCGAGCAGATAGACGATTTTACAAGGGGTATGGCGATTGGACTGAGAAGGGAGGGTTGGTCCTTATGTCAAATCGTAGCTGATATCCACATGGATGTGATCGTGGTGCATCGGCTATGGGGAACATGTTTGGAACAAGGAAATGTGGGAAGAAGGAGTGGTGCAGATGCAGCCAGAATGACGTCAGCACGCGTGGATCGACGCAAGCTGTGGCGTAATAATTCTATATATTTCATTAAACAGAATTTAAAAAAATAAAAATTTAAAATATAAAACATTTTTACGGTAGGTAAATTCTAGTATACCACTGAAATACATAAATTCTGAAATAGATTTATATGTTTATACAGGTCACTTGTACCGCGATTCTGCAGCATGTAAAAGATACCCTGGATGTTCCCGTGTCAACCAGAAACCATTTCTTGTCGATTTATTGAACGTGGCCTGCACTCACGGCATACGTTAAGAAGACTGACATTGACCCCACAGCATAGACGGCAACGTTTAGAATGGTGCCGGAGTGGAGCGATGTGGATGACAGAATTGCGAAACATTGTGTTCTCAGATGAGTCACGCTTCTGTTTATCCATTGACAGTCGCTGCATACGTGTGTGGTGTCGACGTGGAGACAGATCTAATCTGGCAGTAAATATGGAATGCCCCACCGTGCAACAATGTGGCATAATGGTTTGGGGTGCTATTGCCTACAATTTCAGGTCACCTGTAGTTCGTATTCAGGGCACTATGACGGCCCAACGATACTTGGATAATGCACTGTGGCAGCCGGTGGCAATCCCCTACCTTCAGAGGCTGCCTACTGCAATTTTTCAGCAGGATAACGCCCGACCACACAGTGCTTGCATCTGTCAACATGCTCTGCAAGGTATACTTCCTGATGCTTCCCTGGCCACTGAATTCTCCTGACCTGTCACTAATCGAACATTGGTTGCCGTTTGCAGTATCTGTCCCTGCCTCGTTCAGAAGACGAACTGTGGCAAATGATTGAAAAGGAATGAAAAGCCATCCCTCAGGACACCATCCGCACTCTTATTGACTCTATGCCTAGACGTGTTTCTTCGTGCATCGCTGTCCATGGTGGTCCTAGATCCTACGGAGCCGATGCTGTTCTCGCTCTCTATTCTGACTAATCATTTTGAAATAAAGATCACTTATTGCTGCTTGCTGTCTCTGTCTTTTTTCCCAAATTTCATCACTTTCTGACCACTCCTTCTTGGTGTTGCATTTTCAATGTCGAGCAGTGTAATTAATGAAAACACTTAATTGATATTAAAACTATTCTGAGCACAGCATACCAGAGAGAAGGTTTAGACCCAGGTCATCAAGTAGCCCATGCACAGTACTGCTTCTCTGCGGAAACCTTCCAAAGTGGCTGAAACCTCAGAGAGTGACTTTTTTCACAATCAATCCTATATCAATCACACAGTGAGTTCAAACTTGACAGTACCATTAAAAGTGGCTGCCACACCTGAACAGATCATTGTAGAAGCAATGGTTCTAATCCTATGAAGTTCTAATCTCATGCTGGTTCTAATCTTGTACATGTCGAGCAATTAATTCCATTTAGAACAAAATGTTTCTTAAAAAAGGAGTTTTTCGCAGAGATAGGATTCTAAAATGTTGTAGGAAAAGAAAACATATCCATTTACAGTGGAACATATCAAAATCTATATATTTTAATATGGTAAATCACTAAATGTTCTGTTAAACAATGGGGGGGGGAAAGGGTCTAACTGGGTCAAACCAGTGAACAGGGAAAACTGGTTATTGCATTTCCTCTTCTATCTTTCTCTATGATACCAGTGTACCTGGTACTAGTAGTTTTAAAAATATATTTTAATAATACATTGTAAATGTTACATAGGACACTATACAATTTAACCCTGCCAGTTATTTTGAATATTGCAACAATGCCTTTCTTGATTACCTTGGTCAAGATCTCCAAGATGTTTTATTGTAGAAGTGAGGCGTATGTGTCAAGTTTAATTTATTGCTGTGTACAATAAATGTGGGTAAAAGTATATTTACGTGCACCCCTTGGAGAAAATTGTCGATTTTTGGCGCAACATGGATACTGAGTTTGTGCAATTCTTTGACTTGTTATTTTGGCTTTGTGTAGTGGCGATTTTAGCAACAAAAATTGCCGCTACACAAAGCCAAAATAACAAGACAAAGAATTGCACAAATTTGGTATCCATGTACACATTGACCTATTTTCATTAAAAAAAAAAAAAATCACAGAATTGCACAAACTAGGCATTGAGCACTCCTTTGATTTTATGCATGTACACGTTGACTTATTTTCACTTAAAAAATAAAAGGAGCACCAAATTCTACAGTAGAGGCAAACAAAAAATGCATAATCTCAGTAAACTACAGTTTACCAACCAGCAAAATAACATTAAAAAAAAAAAAAAAAAAAACCCTCTTATGCATTTAAGCGCTGCACAAAGCAAATATTCACTGACCTTATTTAGAAATTTCTTTGTCTTCAGTCTGTGGGACACAAAATTCTTTAACAGCATCCAAAAAGTTCCTAAAATTATCTGAACTCGAATCTGTGTATTGGCGTGACCACCTAAATTCACAAAAATAAGAGTCAAAATATCCTCTGTAGTTCCGGACTGTCCGGAAGATGGCTACTAAGTAAATCTTCATTTACCACACCAGGCAATTAATGCTCTTTTCCCCTTTTGTTCCAAATCGTAAAGAAACTTCAAATTAATCTTACTACATCCATCCAGTCTACCACCTAAAACACAAAACACGTAATCTTATCACAGGCAACCATTTTATGGTGTAAAGCACAAAATAAGCAACGTACTTCCCAAGCGACATCCAACGTTGAAATATGCCCTGAGAAATCAAAATTATCGTGATCATGCATTACAATCAGTCATGCCATGATAGAGTTTCCAAAACATACACCATAAAATATTCAGGTTACCATTAATGAAACAACAACTTGGTAATAAGTGAAACAACTACTTCCTAACCAACACACACTACAAAACCTTACAAAACATCCCATAATTCAAAATTTACCTCAATCATGCAACCGATTACATCATAATTGGGTTTCCATAATATTCAACTACTCAGGTTACCGTAAATGAAACAATGACTTGTCAATAAACAAAACAACAACTTGGTGATAAACAAAACAATAACTTGGTGATAAATGAAACAACTTTGCGATATTACAAGGGGTACCCTTCTGTCTACTCTAACCTAGATATGTTGTCATAATTTGAAAATGGCTAATTGTTACACCTTGTAGGTACTGTATTTTTTGATTATTGTATAACTAAATACATTGCAAGATTTATAATTCACTTGTAGTAAAAACTTTTGTTTCAATAATAGTATCATTTTTGTTGATTTTTTTTTTTTTTTTTTAACTTTTAAGAAAGGAGGGAAAGTAAAGATGATACAGAATTTGTAGTTTTTAATTTTGTAGTTGTAAGTTTAAAACATACAGTTTGATAGGAAGTTTTTGCTTTAAGCCAGTGTTATTAGTACTTCAGTCTTTTAGAACATATTTTGGCACTTATCTGTTAAAGGTTTAAGAATCAGTAGTTTGAAGTAAGATATTTGAAAATGTAATTAAATGTTTTATAACATTTAATGCTGATTTCTTGAGTAATAATAGAAAAGTTTACTTGAATACATTAAGAATTTTTAATGCCATTAGTTATGGAATTGTTTTCAATGTTTTCAGGCATATAATATGCATGTGAATGGGGCCTTCCACTGCACAGTGAGATATCGTCAATTATACAACTTGTATGACCAACTGCGGAGAGAATTTGGCCCCAATTGCCTTCCACCATTCCCTCCGAAAAAATTGTTGCCTCTTACTCCTGCACAAACAGAAGAGAGGAGAGCTCAACTGGAGAAATTTGTTCAACTGGGTATGCTTCTTTTCTATTAAACAACTTACTTTTCCTTATGTACATGATTATAAATTGATTTTATTATTATAATGTACTGAATAGGGACATGTCTTTGAAAGGGATTGTTTGATTTTCTCCTTTTTAGTACTCCTGTCATGTACAGTTTAATTTTCTCCTGTTCACTCTTGGTAAAAATATATTTCAGGGTACTTCTTGGTGATTTTTTGGCACTATTCCTGTTTACGTGGAGTGTGCCTTCCCCAGTATAATGGCCTCCAAAACATAATGCAATAAAACAACAAAACAAAAGGGACAAGATGGGACAAAGGCCATCTGAATGATCTTTAAATCCGAACATACGCATTTCCTTCGTACAAACAAGACGAACAGATTTCTCATTACTACTCAGTAATCATTTTAAGTCTATTTGTACTGTGCAGAAACAGTACAAACAGACTCACAGGCAACCATTGTATGGTGTAAAGCACAAAATAAGCAACATACTTCCCAAGCAACATCCAACCCTGAAACAAGCCCTGAGAAATCAAAATCATCAGGATCATGCATTACAACCAGTCACATCATGATAGGGTTTCCAAAGCGTACACCATAAAATATTCAGGTTACCATTAATGAAACAACAGCTTAGCAGTAAAAGAAAGAACAACTTCACGATAATTCAAGGGGAACCCCAAAGTATAGACTATGCGAATTGCTTTGCAATGTATTAACCCTCTCACTGTGTATTCCATGATTTCGACGGGCAACATAGAAATAGCAAAATTTGTGCAACCTGTGATTTCCACGGGGATGCATATTTTTCATTTATTTAACTTTGCAACCCACTCTTTTCCTGTTCATGGTTTCATTTCGGCTTTTCTGTGATGTTTAATTATTTATTTCGATCTGGTTTAACAGATGGCATTAGTTGTTCCTATTTTTACGAAATATACAAACACATTTTGCACGCTCTTTTCAAAGCTTTTAGATGTCTGTAGTCTCAATCACATGAGACTAACTGCTCAACATTTTGCTAGATATATATCCCCCAATTCCATCAACAAAGAAACTCATAGACATTGTGCTGTTTGTTTCTAAAAAAAGAATTGAAACTGGCAAACAAATTCTCAAAGAAATGCGTATTTGGTGCAGAGATGGCGAGATAAAATGCCTCGAGCCTTATCTCGAAGTTTATCATATTACCCTTAATTTCTAATAAATGTTTGTAAATATTTTGCATATTTTCATTAGTATATAAGTTTTACCATTATATTTTATAAAATAAATCGTAATTTAACCAAGATTAATTTTCAAAATTTTTCTTTTATATGATTATTCTTCAGTTTAAACTTTCCGACAACATTTTTTTAAGAGCTAATTCTAAACTGAAAAAGAACTCTTTTACACAAACTTTTTGTATATTTTAACTCTAAAATGTATGTAGATTTGAAATATGTAATTAAAAAAATATGCAATTTCCGAACCTATTTGGGTAAAAAAATGATGCAGCGAGAGGGTTAAGAAGTTTTTACTTGAGTTGTAGAAACTGAGGTATTATGACAGTTGCCACCATTGTGTCTTATGGTAAATAGTCGAGTTAGAAAAACACATGCAGACAAGCTCCCAGATGAGACCTCTGTTAGTAAATAGTGAAACAAACTGTACTAACAGTAGACCTCTATTTATGACGGTAGCAAATGCCAGCAGCAGAGCCAAAAGGATTAAATAATGTATTACTTCATTTATTATTTATTTATTTCATGTTCATACTTTTCAAGTTTATGCCATTAATATATAATATCTAAATAATTATGTATTAATTATTTACTCTTCCTCTTTTTTACTGTGTAGTTAGCCAAGATGCACGTGTTGCAAATAGTGATGTTTTTATGGGCTTCCTATTGTCTGCTCAGCAAGAGACTCAAAATGCTGCAGAAGAAAATATTTCTCTAGATATTCATCTCATGAATTGGCAAAAAGTCAACATCAGGGTATCCTCTCTAGCTCGCACATCTATAGTATTGGAAGTATGTAGTTGTATTTCTGTGTTAATTTATTACATTGTTTTGTTAAGCTATTTTAAAATAGTTTTTATTTTTATTAAATTTACATTTAATGCATATTTCAGGCTGTCTGCAAGTCTTTGAAGTTAGATGAAAAGTATATGTGGTACTTTTGTATATATCTTGTTAGTAAATGCAACAGTGAAATATCAGGTATATATTTAAATATTCTCATTTTTAACATTTTATGTTGGAAATACCGGGTGGTCATAATTAAACTGATAGTGCTCACAGTGTTCTGTAGCGCAATCTATTTGCTAGAATGACGCCACATTTTGTAGGAAGATTAAAGAAGATGGGGGACGAAGGATTCCGTGAAAAAACAAATTAGTTCCAAAAGTCACCACTAGGGGAATATTTGGTGCTGTGTAATAGAAAATAGAGTGTTAACAAATGCAAATCATACGGAAATTAACTTTTATTTTGCATTAAAATGAGGTTCAATTTGGCTGCCATTGTTGTGGACCACATATTGCATTCTGTGCACAGTATGCACAACAGCAGAAAGTGGCATGTCTGCAAGAATCTCCCGTACAGTTCGCGATATGTTATCCTTCAACGTAGCCAGGTCCTGGACCACTCCTTGATAGATCTTGGACTTAAGGTAACCCCATAGCCAGAGGTCACATGGGGTAAGATCAGGCGACCGAGGTGGCCATGCAGTTGGAAAGTAGCGGCTAATGACTCTTTCTGTTGTGAATTTCTGTCGTAGCATCTGTCGCACCCATACAGCAATGTGTGGAGGGGCTCCATCTTGCATGAAAATGATTTCCCCCAGGCATTGTCTTTGCTGAAGTGCCGGGATGACAAAGCTGTTCAACATGTGGCGATATTTCTCTCCCGTAACAGAACAGGTTTCCGGTCCTGTAATGTTCTCATTGAAGAAGGGACCTACATTAAATTCCGCTGTGAACCCACACCAAACAGTTACCTTTGGTGAATGTAAGGGAATTGCTGTGACTGCATGTGGTGATTTGTCATCCCAAATTTGGCAGTTCTGGGTATTCACATTTCCATTCAGGTAAAAGTGGGCCTCATCTCCCCATAAGATTTTCCACGGCCAAGCATCATCCACCTCCATTCTGGCAAGAAAGGTGAGAGCAAAAGTCAATCGCTTTATGGTCGGGGTACAGTAAGTCCTGTACACGCTGATCTTGTACGGATAGAAATTGATAATCTTTAAGATTTTCCATACTGTACTGTAAGGCATATCCATATTTCGAGCTACTCCACGAGCGCTAGAGTTGGCAGCAATATTGTCTGGTCCTCTGTCGACAGTCGCCATGGCAACTGCTTCGATTGCATCCTGTGGTACAGGTTTCCGTCCTCTGCCTGACTGAACATTCAGAGAACCTGTTTTCTCAAACGTCACAACCATTGCTTTTAGCTCTTTAACTGACACAAGACTATTACCTTTACGCATTTTTTTGTGCGTTCTAAAAGCATGAAGACGGCTGACGCGTTGCACTTGTTGAGGTAAAAAAATTTGACCAGTAACGCACGCTCTACTAAAGAAGGAGACATTACACTTAAACTTTCAATCCGATTGATTCGAAACGTAACACATTGCCTTTTAAAACCCAAGCAGCTAGCTGGCACTGTGAGAATGGATATAACGTGAAATTTGAATAAAGAACTTCTTCTTCTGCTCAGCGTACGTGATATTAAATTGCAGATCACGAGACTTTATCGGTGTTTATGTAGATTTCACGCTTTTTTAAAAGTGTTGCCATATTGCACTTGAACTAAATCAGAAAATGTGCATAATAAAAAATAATTTTATTCCGTATTAATTTGCATTTGTTAACACTCTATTTCTTATTACACAGCGCCAAATATTCCCCTAGCGGTGTCTTTTGGAACTAATTTGTTTTTTTGCGGAATCCTTCGCCCCCGCCTTGATCTTCCTACAAAATGCGGTGTCATTCTCGCAAATAGATCGCGCTACAGAACACTGTGAGCACTGTCAGTTTAATTATGGCCACTCGGTATATATGTTTATTTTCTTGAATACCTGTAATAACCAACAAGGGTTTTTATACATCTTTTATATTTCTCTTTCATGTAAGCAGCTGCTTGTTTCAGTGTAGTATAAGAATGTTACATTGTTTGATTTCTGTGCACAGTTGCTTGTATTGCCTCTGCATTGTTGAATTCATGCTAGTGAATTTCTGAGCCAACTTTGTGTTAATTATTATGACATTAACTGCTGAACTATTATTAAAAGTTCACTGATTGAGATTTTAAGTCAGTGGACTCTCAATTAACTTGAAGTGATACTATATATAATGTCTACTGTTAATGCAAAATCACCATTAATCTGATGGCATTAAATAAATAAATAAATTAAAAAATAGTAAAATTAAAATCTGAAATTAAATTACGTCCAAAGGGACTTTTTTAAATGTTTTATGTGTTACCTTTATTTATTAAATATGTTCTTCACACTTAAACCATAAAATTCAGTTCAACAGCAATATTGCAGAATAATTTAAAAATGATCCTATCTTTAGACTTTCGGATGTACAGTTTCGCACGCTGGAGATAAAAATGCTTTTTCTGTACTATGATGCCATTGCTCGCTTTGAAATCCAGGAGTTTGTTAATAAAAATTCTTTAGTTTTACAAAATATGAAATCGATAATAAAAAAAACTCCAAATTAGGGCTACGAGATGCCCATATTCGGTGAAAGATTACATTATTCAAAATTTGATGGCTGTAGGTACCATTGTTTTATTACAATGCGAGAAACATACATACATTTATGCAGATTCTTCATTATTTAATTTCTTTAAATATAATACAGGGTGATGGCAACAGTTTGAAACTACACATAAAGTGAATCAATGCAAAATGCCAAAACGAAATTCTGGGCAAATTGCCCCTTTGGACTTATGAAAGAAAATCTGAAGGCTTTCAGATTTTATATTATTTCCAAAAGGGTGTTTTTTTAATGTTTTGTGTGTTACCTATTGTTATTAAATGGCATGTTCTTTGCACTTATACCACATAAAATTTAATTCGACAGCAATATCACAAAATATTTAAAAGCAGCGTATCTTTGCAATTTCCGACACAGAGTCTTGCGTGCTGGAGATAAAAAGTTTTTTTTATCGTACACAGTTGCCATTGCTAGCTTTGAAATCGTCGAGTTTGTTAATAAAAAATTCATTAAAACTTTTACAAAATTTGAAATGGATAATAAAACAAATTCGAAATTCCTAATGTAGGCTTTTAAGTGCCCATGTTTATTTAGAAGTCTACATTATTCAAAATTTGATGGTTCTAGGTACCACTGTTTTTTTTCCACAATGCGAGAAACATTCATGCAGATTCTTCATTATGTAGTTTCTTTAAATATAATACATGATGATAATATTTGAAGGCAACAGTTTGAAAAGTGAATCGACGCAAAATGCAGTTTTGAAATTAATAACTCTTCTGGGTTAACACCGTTTTGGGCTTAAAAAAACTTAGGAAAGAGGAGTAATTTACATAACAACTAAAACAAAGCTATTATTACACTTTATTTTTATTTTCAGGCAATTTAAATTTGGAGATTAAATTCGCTTAGTTATGTGAATTAAATCAGCATTTACAAGATGAACATACTTAAAAACAAGCAAGGTTTTTGTTTTTATCATTCTTGCATTTTAATAGAAATCGATGGGAAACAGAAATTTTACGACTGTGCATGATTTATTTTATAATTTAGTATTTTTAACATGGTTTGATGATATTTATATATTCCAGACTGTAGTCAATTAAAAAATTATGTTGTCGATAAAACGATTCTTAAATACTGTGGCATCATCTGCTATCATTGCTGTTATCTGAAGCATTTTTTAAAAATATTTTTTGAACTTCATATAGAAATTTTGTTTTATTTTGATGGTTTGAAATAGCGGATGTCAGGTTTCTTTAATTCAAATATGCAGTTATTTTATGTTTTGAATATGTACTATCACTTCTGTCTTTCTGTTTTCATACCACAATGCAAATGAGTTCGCATGTATTTAAAGGGAGCTTTTTAGAATGTTAAGTTAGAGCATATTCTGCCTCTTAAAGGCCATATTAATAGGTTCGCTATTCTAGATAAGAGTTCCTATCATCGGCCATGCATTATGATTTGCAGATAGTTGAATTCACGCCAGTGAATTTCCGAGCCAACTTTGTGTTAATTTGCTCTGTTCAGCCATTGGCTAAACAGAGCAAATTAACACAAAGAGAGTTAAATAAAGAGAGCATAATAATAAACTAATTGGCTAAAGAGAACATAATAATAAACTAATTGGCTAAAGAGAGAATAATAATAAACCAATAGTTTATTTAAATATTTACCTTTACATTTGATTTACTATTTTGAGTTTTCTCATCACAAGTGCTGTTGGATTTGTAAGCACCAGGAATGACTTCTGTTTATCTTTAATATTAAATATTCTTAAAAACCCTTCCTAAATTTCTGTTATACTTTTAGACTTAGTGGTGTTGCTTAACATCATAGAATTAAACACTTTGTATGCTAACAAAGGAGTCGAACTCTACACAATTTTTACATCATTCAAAAATAAGAAAAAATAAAAAAATGTTTAACAGACTTGATTAATATGCCCCTGGTTATTCTTCACTAATTTTGTCTTTAGGATTATATATGGTATAATTTGTTTGTGGATGAGTTTATGTTACCTTTGAGTGGGATAGAGCAGTAGTTACAAAACTGTTATTAAAAATTTTCTTGCAAATACTTTTGTATGTATGGTTTTTTAAAACGTTAAAACATGAATAGTGCCAAAAATTTGGTTTTTTATATTTTTTATATTCTTTGATATATGTTAGGTATGTTAATTCAACTTGCTCCAAGCCAATATTTGTAGCCTTCTCCCCCCCCCACTTGATGCTTGTGTAATTTAGTCAGAGCTGGATTAACCATTAAGCAAAATACACACATGCTTAAAGCATCGAAGAAAGATTACATCAGAGAGAGGTGCTTAGCGACTCAGTGAAAGGGGGTGCAGTTTGCCTTTTTTGCCTTGGAATGTACACTGTGAAACAAACAAACAAACAAAAAAAAAAAGAGAGTTCTATATCTCCCGTTCTATTGGGCCGATTGACGAAATTCAACTTGCGTTTTTCATATCTCGAAAGCATGACTTAGGATATGTATTAGATTTATATATAGCATTCTAGTATAGATATTTTGTCACAAAATCGGACTTTCTCTGAAATGGCATGCCAATTTTTTTCCATATTTCGTTTCTACAACTCGAATTATGCCAAACTGCCAAGTTTTGTAAAAATTACACGAGCAGTTTCTTAAAAATTAGCTCTAAAAATTTTAGCTCCTAAATGTTAATGGAATTTGATATATATTTATTAATATATCTTTTTTATTAAACTTATTTGATTCCTTCTTCCAGAATTTGAAATTTAGCCTTCATCCAAATATAATTTGCATTTTTTGTTTTACAATTTGTTTTTTAAAATTTGTGTTTTTAAGTATTTTTTATAAATTTTTCGAAAAGAAATTTGTGCTATAACCTACAAAATTTTTAACGTCATCTTAAAGTAGATGTATTTCTAGGCATACCTGGAAAAAGAATTAGATTTTTTTATTCAATATTTCCTAGACTATACATGAATTTACATATTGGCGCATTTTGAAATTTTGCATATTTCTTATAAGCGATAATAAAGCAAAATGCGATTTATGCACGTTGTTAAAATTATTTGAAATGACAAATGAAGATTTTTTTCCCCCCTGCTCATTTACAATGAAAAAAATAAAAGAGAAGTATGTTGCTATAAATTAAGAAGTTTGCCAAGTGGATTATTCTTAGTGCAAACTGAAAGGGAAAAAAAAAAAAAAAAAAAAAAAAAAAAAAAAAAAAAAAAAAGCTCCTAGATAAATTTTTGAATTTCTCCATAAATTTTGCACCAAATCTTACAAAATTTAATATTAGGCATAATTTGAGTCGTACAATCATATGGAAAAAAAAATACCTATATTAGGACAATGCTATATATAAATCTAATAAAAATCTTAAGTCATTCTTTTGAGACATGAAAAATACAATTTGAATTTCGTCACTCGGCCCAGTAGAATGGAAGATATAGAACTGTCTCCTCTTTTTTTCCCCCAGTGTACAGTGTAGCTAAACCAGGACTAAGGAAGAAGAAATGAAGGAAAAAGTAGGCATGAAATGTATATGGAGGCATCAAAACTGATGAAGTGCTTAGGCTGTTTAAAAGTTTTAATCATGCCCTAGATTGAGTGACAAATATTCATAAACAAAATTGATCCTAATTCTAATTTGTATTAATATCCGTAACTTAAGTAACTTTTGGTGGCTGAAACTTAAAGATGATGGCTTGGACAAATCAATAGATGTTGTAAAAAAATCAAGCAGATATATATGTTTTATAAACTTTTATATGAATAATATGTATCTATTGTAGATTGAATACTATTGAATCTTTACTTATGATAGAATTTAGAATAAAGTTTTCATTGTGTTTTAAGACATTATTGTGTAAAAAATCATTATGTGTTTTATTTAAAACTGTGTGGAATATCAAACTTAATTTTATTGTACAGTAATTTTAAAATTTTGGATTGACATGTTTCTATTCCATATAATATTATTGCATTTTTCTTTCTTCTGACACCAGTTGTTACGTTTCTCTTCTGACATCAGTTGTTATGTTATTTTCTTCCTTCACATTCGTATGGATTTGGAGTGAATCACAATGACACTTGATGAAGTATCAAAACACACTTTATTGGGCAGTATTGTCAGGACAGCTCCAAAGTCATGTTTTACAGTCGTCGAAGATCTACTATACACAGGCTGGAACCAGTGGCGTAGCTAGGGTGGGGCAAGAGGGGACATCTGTCCCCGGGCGCAGCATCCAAGGGGCGCCAAATTTGATGCTACGAAATTTTTTAATGAAATGTTTTCCATTCTTGGTGCAAATTCTTCAGTTGGCCCCAGGTGCTGGAAACTCTAGCTACGCCTCTGGCTGGAACAATCAGCGACACAGCCTTCACACTGTCAGGCAATAACGGTGGAAATAGCTTCACTGAAAAGCATCAGAGTACAGCTTCCGACTCTGCTTGGTCATTCTTGGAACTCCACATACACTCGAGACTCTCCACGCTACAACTTGCGATGCACTCACGACACACAAAGCGCAGCTCCCGACTCTTCGGTTCAGTCGTTCTCAAAGCTCAACACGCTCTCTCGATGATGCACAGTGAGACTCTTTTGGTGCACTTGACGACCCACTCATCAGCACTCGCTGCCTGGCTGTCAACTCGATCGACTCCGCAGGGATTGACTCGCTAGACGAGACACTAACTCGATACCAACTCGCACTCCAGACGATTCACTCTGAGTCGCCCTCTCGATGAAGCACAATGACTGAGTGCGGACCAGCAGGGTTTATATAGCTCTCGGCTTGTGTTCGAAAACATTCTGGTCTAAACCGGTAATAATTCGTTCCAGAAGGTTCTCCATCCGTCCATGGCATATCACCAATTTTGTTGCCAAATGGGTGATTTATCACCAAATAACCCTGCCTTCCTTGCTATTTTATGGCAACGCTAAAACTGCTTTGCAGGGAAGCTATCTCATCGCGCCTGTACATTTCGTAACAATATAATAATTAGCGGTTTATTTTAATCATTATTCAGTCATAAAAATTGTTTTTGTCATATCTACTTTATCAGTGTATATATGTTTCTTTACTATGTATATTATTGTAGCACCTATATCAATTTCATTTTTTTTTATTTATATAGAAGCTTCTTTTATGCTGAATTTTGTTTATTGCATTTGCATGTAAGGATAATGAACAATTTTGTTTCTTTTATTCTAGACTGTGAAGAATTTGTATCTTTTAACATATTGTAAAATCGATTAAAATTTTTCTATAGTAGATTTTCTCTTACAGTTGAAAGACGATTGCAAGATTTTGAATCTCCATATCTCACTCTGAAATCAGCTGGAATCAATCATTATTTGGTCATACGTAAAAGGTTGGTTATAATGTCTTAATAAAATTTTTTTATAACATTTTCTTTACGTTGTCTGTAAACATATAATAAAGCACTGAACTAAAAAACTAAATTCTAAACATTCATGTTAGTATTCATTAGTTACAATACTAACATGAAAAACGAACAAATGGATAATTCATCATTGCTGTCGTACAGATTTTCTTGTGGTGCATTTCATGAATCTTAGGTAAACATTAAATGTTGTTAATTAAATTTTGGTGTACTGAAATTTTATTTAAACTTTTAATTTTTCATTAGTTTAAAAATTTTGTACTGATTTTAAAGATATTTATTTAGGCAATACAGATTATTACTCAAAATCCATGCATTACTTAAAATGCTGTTTGTACACTAACAAGAAAAATTAATCTTGTTATTTTAACTATAATAAATAAATAATCTTTATAAATTAATCTTGTTATTTTAAGTCAATTTTAAATATGTTATCAATTTAATATTTATAAAATTTTTAGTTATTTTTATTTTCGTTTCGTACAGTTATTGGGATTCATCATACGATGATGACTTACTAGAGGATAAAACTTGTCTTAATCTTTTATACGTCCAAGCAGTTAGTGATGTTGAAAGAGGCTGGACGCGGACAGATAGCGAATCCAGGAGAAAACTGGTAGCACTGCAAGCACGAGGGTCAAAAAAAGAGGTCAGTGTTTTCTTCAGCATTTATGATCATGGTAACAATTATTATATAGCAGAAATGAGATTTATTTAAGTTTAAGCAAAAAGCAAAAAGAACACTTGACTAACTATTCTTTTTGCTTAAATGGCAGTATGCTTACAGTGTTGAAAAGAATTCAAATTTTCTTCTTTTTCCTTTTTAATTCGTAGATTTGAGGTGCTAAAAGTTACTTGGTCTGTTTTAAGTGCGATATCATTTATTCATCTTGATATAGAAATTCAGTTTATCTGATCTTAATGATTTAAAAGCATTGTCCATTTGATGTCCATAAATTTACTGAATCAGATTTTATTGTTTCCTTTTGAAAATTAAGTGTTTTGCTTAAGATTTATTTTATTCATGCTGTATTACAGTGAGTAGAAGAAAATTAATTTCTAAATCTGTAGATTGTTCATCACTATCACTTTCTCTTCCATAATCTTTAATAGAAATATTGGATGTAATGAATAAATTCAGCATAGTAAATAAAATTTAACATTCGTTGGAAGTGAAATTCATGAATACATGTTATTGCAGCAATTGATGTATTGGATCACTATGTAGCCTAAAATAATACATTCACACATAATGATACTCTGAATAGACATAAAAAAGAACATTAATCACTGCACCTCAGGAAATAGGACATTAAAATATAAAATTTACATTACAGATTTTACATTATGCCCCAGGGCACCTTTTTTTTAACGTTTTGTGCGTTTCCTTTATTTATTATTAGAAAGTCCTCCACGAAGGCATCCCTCCTCTTTAGCAGGCAGATAGCCCTAGTGTGCTTTGCCGTAATTAAATAAATCAAACCAAACCAAACCTTTATTTATTAAATATCATTTTCTTTGCACTTAAAGCATAAAATTCAATTCAACAGCAATATTGCAAAATAATTTTAAAATGAGCATATCTTTAGATTTTCTGATACACAGTATCGTGCTCTGGAGATAAATACCGCCCCCCAATACAGTGTTGCCATTGCTCATTTTGAAATCGTTGAGTTTGTTGATAAAAAATTCAAGTGTTATGAAATATGGAGTCTATAATAAAACAGATTTCAAATTAGGGCTTCCAGATGCCTATATTCAGTGGAGGATTTCATTATTCAAAATTTGATGTCTCTAAGTACCGTTGTTTTATCACAATGCAAGAAACGTACATACGTTTATGCAGATTCTTCATTATTTAATTTCTTTAAATATAATGCAGGGCGATAATATTTGGTGGCAACAATTTGAAAAGTGATTTGTCATTTATAGTGAAGTGGCGCACAATGCCAAAATGAAGTTAATAGCCCTTCTGGGCTAACACCATTTGGGCTAAAAATAATATTAACACCTCTCATCAGTGATTAATTCTTAATACAAAAATTGCTTCTCTTCAGATGCAAATTTACATTAATCTAGAAGGAAATTATACATTAAAATAATTCAGGACTTTGCATAAATGTTTTTAGTTTATTTGCCCTTAATGACTTTATTAAAATGTCTGCAGTGGTTAGATAATAGAGTTCTTAAGACTTTTTACAAAATATCTAGTGTGTATTATGTTTGTGGTTCTCAACCTTTTTGCTTATGTACCCATTTTACCATTGCTAGACGATAATTTTTTCCACCCTTCTTTCCAAAACTCGAAAAGTACATATATATTTGTTTAAACATAGATTATTTTTATAAATTAGGCAAGAAAATGTATAGAAAATGTTGTTAAATGTCAAAACTTGAATGAAAGTTGTTTTTTATATTCATAAACTAAAATTAGATATGTAACAGGTAAATAAAAGGCTGACCACGTGCCTCCCCTCTTGAAACTATGAAATACCGCTGGATGAGAACTCCCAAATTATATGTTTAGTTCCTCCATCCCCCTTCTGCTGCTTTTGTTCTTTTTTAACAGTTTGATGCAAGTTTGGTTGTCCTTATTGAAAATGCAGACTGTTTATTTCTTGTGAAAATCTTGCAAGTGTCTTTTAATTTTGATTTCTTTCTTTGTTGTTTTCACAAGAGATATTAATTTTACTTCAGTCAGTGGCAAAATCATGCAGTGTAAACAACTAAGAAATGCACAGCTGTTTTCTGCATTTCTGTGCATAAACACTGTTTTGATATGCAAAGATGTAACTATTGTTGGATTTCCTTGTTGTTTTCCCTTTCAGACGTTTCTTAGATATAATTTAAGATCTTTAGTTAATTTCAAACATCTAAAGAATCTTTTTAGTTTTGTGTGATCAGTTTTGGTAGGTTTTCTCTCCTTTCTGGGTGAGATGGAAATAGCAGCTGCTAAATCTGATGCAGTATTAACTGATTAATAGTAGTAATACTATTACACTTTTCTATTCTCTACTGAAAACTTTGGGATCATGCTTTTGTTTATAATGCCTGAGATCAGTAGGAAATTTAGGTGTCTTACAGTCATTCATGTGATCTTGCTTTTTTCAAAATATAGCTTTATTCATTTATGCAGAAAATAAATTCCATCACCGTTGTGTTCAAAATATCTGGTTGCAATGAAAGTTTTCAGCCCCCCCCCCAAAAAAAGTTCTTAATAAAGTTAGGGAAAAAAACAATGAAAGCAGTACCTTTAGTGCGGGTAGTAATCACCACTCAAATATATGATTTTCTGCCAACGTTTTGGTAGCATTTCAATGCTTTCGGCCCAGAAACGTGGTGGCTGCGAGTCCAAAAACAGGTCAACCTCATTTCAGATGTCCTGTGCTGAATTTACGATAGCACCAGCAAGATATAGCTGCAGGTGTGAAAAAATGTAGAAGTCTGCAGAAGCGATGTCGGGTGTGGCAAAAGATCTCATTCGAGCCCCATTAAAGTTGTATAATTTATATGATAGGCATTTCTAAAATTGAAATCAAGTTTCTATAAAATGTCCTGAATTATATTTCTTAAAATATAGTGTCTCTGGTTATGCATGCTAAAGAGTTTTATCCCAAATCCATCAGTATAAATTGGAAAAAAGATTCATCATTTAAAAACAATAATCAGTTTTAGTTGTATTTAGATTTAAATGCAAGTATTATCCAAATTTATTATGCAATATTTGGATGAAAAAAAAATGGCTAAATGAACAAATGTGAATAAATGCCGAAAATTAAAAATGCATTTGGGAACTGACCTGCTTACATAGTCCTAAAATGATATATGACAGAAATGATGCTATACATCCTCATTGCATGAAACAAAATCAATGATGAATGATGTATGGAATAAATGGTGCTGTATGAAATACACTGACAGAAGCTTTTGCAAATGACATACATGCTTCTGTAACATCATAGGCCGGTTAAATGTGATGTCATATTCACCTTGGTTTAAATTTCATAAGGGATTTAAATTCCACAGATTTGCCGCTGTAGTCGGTCACAATATATCTTCCCAACTATACTTCAATAGATTGCAGCTAGCCTAAAAGTTGATTAATATATTTTTAAAAAATTATATGCAAGAAGTAGTGCTGGTTTGAATTTTCAAATAGCTTTTATAATAAGCATTATTTTAAAAAGACATTTCTGATAGTCCTAATTATTACTTTTTTAATGCGCATTTTGTTATTAACGAAATTTGCATTTCTTTAAAGATTCAGGAATGCTTTGAACTTTAATATTAATTTCATTATGAATTAATTTTAATTTTTATAAGTTGCCCTACAATGGCAAAATAGTAAGATAACTGAAGAGTGTTAGTTGAAGCTATGCTCACACCCCTGTGAATGCGTTAACTTCATGAGTTTCTGATGATTTTCCTAATATGTAACATGAAGACAGGCCAGTATCCTGTAGGAAGTTCTCTATGAAGGTATCTCATCCCTTCAGCAGATCCCATTTTGTGCTTTGTGATATCCAAACAAGTAACTTGATTAAAATATCAATAGTATTTTAATTTTTAGTGTCCTTGTGGAAAGAAAAGTCCAGTTTTTATAGTTTCGTCAGTAATATCAGAAGTAATCAACATATAAATATATAATTCCAATAAATGTAAGTAAGGGCTTTAATTTTCTGAATTAAGACAGGCTTATTTGTTTTTTCAAGCCTTTTTCAAGTAATTATTATGAAAAACAATCAAATTTTATGATTTTATTTGTTCTAGTTTAAAAAATGTATATGTTTAAGTAGTGACATCCAAATTAGCATAATTTATTATATGAAGTAAATAGATAAAATAATTAAAAATTTTTTTTTCCCTATATGTGTGACATTTTTAGTACCTTCAACTTGCAAGAAGCCTTAAATTCTATGGCCATATACAGTTCCGGCGTTGCGTTTGTGATTATCCTACCCCTAACACAAGTGTTACCATTAGTGCAGGTGGCAGAGAACTAGTTTTTTACTTTGATTCTGATCCAGTAAGTAGATCTTGCTCCTTAATTTTAGATTATATATATTGCTTTTTGTGTTGATTATGACAAATTAATCACCAATATTTCCAAAAGGCAAACTTCTTGTGAATTAAAAACTTAATCCTTTGAAGTAACCTTAGAAAATGTTAGAGGCTGTAATTGCATTCTCATGATAATCTGAAAATCAAGCACTAATGCAATTTTAACTTCAAATTTACTACTCCTTCAACAAGCCAGCAGAGTGTAGAACTGTTGGTTGAGTAATACTGTTTTTTGAATTTAAATAATAATAAAGAATATGTATTGAATTAAGATAAAATGATGCGTAGGAACTCTGAATTTGCTGTCATGCTGGACAAAAGTGGTACCTTAACACTTTACAGACCGCTATCGGTTCAACTGCATACGATGTCCGACAGGCCGCTCAGCCACAGATTCTCCCTGTTCTGAATAACTGTCAGGGCAATCTGATAAATCGTCTAAATAAAGCTCTCCAGTACCATTATTTTCGCTTATCGTGAACGATAAATTTTTTAAAAATGGTGTGAAAAAGTGGAAGTTTACAAAGCAATGCACTTAACGCAAGTAAGCAATGTACCTCAATACTAATAATAAAATGCATATGATATAGCAAATGGCTGTTGTTTATATCCATGACTACCGATTGGTAGGCTATTTATAGGTAGCCCCGAGAAAAAAGCGTTTAATAGGCTATCGGTTGGTAGGCGTTGGTGAAAAAAAGCCAATAAATAGGCGACTGGTCGGTAGGCATTGGCGAAAAAAGCCGATTAATAGGCTATCGCTCAGTAGGCGTAGGCTTAAAAATGCCAATTAATAGGCAATCGGTCGGCAGGCGTTGTCGATAAAAAAAAAACGATTAATAAGCAATTGGTCGGTAAAGTGTTAAATGGCCCTACTTGTAAAAGTTAAAACTTCTGAAAGAGTAAAGCACTAGAAATGGTGAGACATAAAATATAAAGTAAACTGGTTGGAAATTTGACAGCTGCATTTTGTGTATCATCAGATATCTTTTGTATCCTCCTTGATCATTTCTGGTTATTTATGGATACATGGGGGGGGGGGAATCTGTTGCATAAATTTCTAGTTGTTTGTAAAAATTGATTTTTTTAAAAAATTTTTTTTGCAGTCTCAAGTATGTCCAAAAATTTGGTTTCTTTCTCCTCCTTCTGTCTTTTTATTTGCAGTTATTATTATTGTTTTTTTAATTTTGTTTCTTTCACCATATAGACTAGAGGTGGGCAAATACTTTAAACTATGGTCCATCGCAATTTGCCCTGGTACTTGTGTAACGATCTTCTATAGTGGCTAAGGTGAAATGGGAAAGGGGGTAACACCAGTTCTCAGAAATTTTTTGAAACAATTACAATTTTAAATAGTAGAAATTATGTACAATATGCACATAATTTCATATTTCGTACTTTAAGTTCTAGACGTTGAATGTGGGATCACAACAGCCAGTGATGCACAAAATATACATGTAAATTTCAAGGAATATGAAGCCCCCCAAAAAGGCATTAATCAAACATTTGTATGAATTTACAGCTGTGCATACAGTTTTATTACAAATGCTGTCTTACATAAGCAGTTATTAATTAATATATACTCAATTTGATACATGAAATCTGGAATGTTCACACAGATTAGATTCAGGGAGTAATGCTTGATACTAAATGTAAATTTTCATCAGTAATTTTTTATTGATATTTATTTTTCATGTACTTCATTAGTGAAAACATTCTTTAGCATAAATATATCCATCCAAATGAAACTGAATGCTTTTTGGCATAATTCGGAATATTTTAGAATTTATCTACATTCATACATAAAAACCATTAATTCACTTGAATGAAACTTTTCTTTTACCAAATGTTCCAACTGCAATCATTCAGTTAGAAATGAACCTGAACTAGAGCATTTCTGCTGATTAAAATTAAACAATGTACTTATTAATGAAAAATCATTTTCAGTTTGCATACAAAATTCGGTAGGAAAGAGAGGGAAATGTTGTTGCACAGGATTTCATAATGCATTAAGCAAATAAAGGGGCCACATGTGGCCCCCAATCTGGCCTTTGCCTACCCTTGATATAGACACATAAGTAAACGAATCCAGGTTCACGCTTCGATTTTCTTAAGAAACTGAAGAATGAACCTGTATCTTTTTATTTAATTTGTTATCTATCATTCGTAATCTGTCATTCATAAATCTATCATTCAGTGGTCACATCCATTGAATGATAGATTTATTGCAGTTTGAAGTCTCATTTTTACTTCCTTGTATGAAGTAAAGGAAGTATTGCAATTGTGAAAAATTAAAGGTGTCATAGTTCAATGAAAATATCCAATTTGACCATTCTCAAATCCATTTGAATGAAATTTTCATGTGACATCTGTACATACAGGCAGAATAAAAGTCTTTCTTTTCCAAAATGGATATAAAAGAGATTGATAAGAGATTTTTTTTTGACATCTGTACCTACATACATATGTATTTCACATAACTGTAGAATGTTAGAAATGAATAACTGTAGAATGTTGAGATTTGTATATAGGGCTGCTGTAATATCTAGTTGTGCACCTCCCTTTTTCATTGCAATCGGACGCACTGAACACATATGTATATATTCCCACTCTTTACCTGCCTTGGTGATCTCATTCTTTTTTTTTATTCTTATATGTTGGTAAATTGTGCATTTTTTGCTATAAAAGTGATTGAATTATGTTGTTTGTATGTTCTGGTTAAACTTTATTTGCCTTTAGTTAATCTTCATGCAATGATTGTAAAATTATCAATAATTTAAAAGTTTAAGGAATATTAAATCTAATGAAGCTGCCATTTTTTTACATTTGAAACTCTTAGTAGAATAGTGAATTATGTTAGTTTCTGCACCAACTTCAGTGTCTTTTTGTCAAGTGGGACCAAAAGTAAATTTTCAGTTGTGTACACTGAAAAATCTGTCTTTGTGTCCATTGACCGAATTGTTTGTGTTTGTGACGAAACTCTAATCTTAATTGTAAAAAGAAGGGGGAAAATTAAACTGTTTTTAACTGTATTTGGTGTTTTAGGTTTTTAGGTGAGATTTTATGTATTTTTGCTTTGGTACTAAGTGAGAACTGAGTTAATTGAATGAGAAATACATTTGTAATTAAATTCAAGGAAATAAGTTTAAATGAAATGCAGCAAAAAAATGTGTATAATTTAATAGGCTGTACAATAAGTCATGTGAGGTCCACATCAATATTTTTCTTTAACTTGTTTCCTTCACAAGTGTTGAGAAAGAGATTTCATTTCTGGATTAACAAATACAAATCAAATCCAAAAGATATCTAAGAAGAAACAGGATGTTATAGTCTGAACTTAAACATTAGCCCATGCATTTTGTTTTGCTTCCAATTTTGTCAAACAGGTGGCTAAAAAATTTGAAAGATTTTCTTTCTCCTAGTATGTATCATTGTTAAACATATGTTCTTGCCTAGCATACATATTTGAAAAAAATCCAATTTTAAGCAAAAATATCCTTATTTAATTCTGAACAAAATATGTTGATACTTAAGTTTCGTAATTGAGGCAACTAACTTTCGTAATAAGAACAACTTAATTCAATCATTTTTAGAGCAAAAAATGCACAATTTACCAACATATAAGAATAAAAAGAAATGAGCTCACTGAGCCGAGTAACAAAGTGAGTACATATATATATGTGTGTGTTTGGTGCGGTCGATTGCCACCAAAAAGGGAGGTTCACAACTACATGCTATTGCAGGCCTATATACAAAACTTCAAAGTTGTGTGAATACTTGTTTTTGAGTTATGCGAGATACATAACATACGTACATATAGACGCCATGAAAAATCTCTTCTGAATCCATTTTAAATCAGTTTTATAATTTATTTAAAGAAAATAGTCCTTTATTCTATCCTTACATACACATGTCATGCAAAAACATCATTAAATTGCATTTATTAGTGGTCAAAATGGATATTTTTGTTGAAATATGGTACCCGGAAATTTTTGTGATTCCTTTACTTCATACAACGAAGTAATAACTGTGTCTGCGTGTATGATTTTAGCAACAATGATGAGGAATTTCTGGGATTGCAATGAATAAACGCTGATTATTTGCTAATATTTTAATGTAACAGTTCCATTTTTATTGTATAAAGTGGAGTACAAAGTCTGAGATCTGGACTCGTCGGGACTTCGGCGATTCCGGATTTGGAATTTTTCTGAATATTAGATCATCAGTTCAAATCTAGTGAGATGGTGTGCACAAATTTTAAAATTAAAAATATTGTTGTGCTTTTCTTTTCTGACACCAGTTGTAACGTTCTTTCTTCCTTCACGTTTGTACCGGGTTCGTGTGGATTTGGAGTGAATAACAACGACACTTGATGATGAAGTATCAAAACACACTTTATTGGTCGGTATTAATCAGGACAGCTCTAAAATCTTCTTTACAGTCATCGAACTGTTATAAACACGCTGACACGATCAGTGATACAGCTTTCAGGTTACCAAGCTATCACGGTGAAGACAGCTTCACTGCAAAACACCAGAGTACGGCTCCCAACTCTGCTCAGTCGTTCTCGGAACTCCACATACTCTCGAGACTCTCCACGCTACAACTTGCGATGCACTTGGCAACAGCGACTCATCGGTTCAGTCGTTCCCCGGAGCTCAACATGCTCTCTTGACGATGCACTAACCGCAATGCACTACGAGACTCTTTCGGTGCACTCTACGACCCACTGGGCACTCGCTGCCCAGCTGTCAACTTGGTCGACTCCGCACGGGCTGACTCACCCTCTCGATGAGACACATGCTTCCTGACTGCAGACCAACTGGGTTTATATAGCTTTCGGCTTGTGTTCGAGAGCATTCTGGGCTGAACCAGTAAGAATTCATTCCAGAAGGTTCTTCAACCGTCCATGGTATATATCGCGAATTTTGTTGCCAAATGGGCGATTTCTTGCCAAATGTGGCAATCCTGCATTCCCTTTCCGTTTTATGGCAACCCTAAAACTGCTTTGCGGGGAAGCCATCTTACCGCGCCTGTACATTTCGTAGCAATATGAAATCGTGTTTTATGAAATAATGAAACATCTATGATCTAAAGGGTATCAAAATTTATGAAAAAAACTTAATATTTGTTTACTTTACTAAACATTTCTTTGACTGTAAATTGTTTAAGCTGCTTCATTTTTTGTGCTAATACTTTCTCTTCAAATTCTGTAGACTGGCATAATTTCTTGTTCAATTACAAGGTTCCACTGTACAAGTCCTGTAATTGCTGAGTCAGTAATTCTGACTAACTTGTCAATCAAAATTTTTTCATTTTAAATAACCTCTCATAACTTTTTTTCACTATCGGTAATGGTATTTTATGGATATAGAACCATACTACAGATTTAACCATCCATTAATTGGTTGATAATTGGAACATTGCGATTGCAATGAAGAACTTCTGCTATATCATCTTCATTTATTGCCACTTCTCCACATTTCTTTACAAAGTCCATTAATTGGAAAAGCAGATATGCAGCTACAGAGCCAAATTATTGAATACACAAATTTATGCTAATAATAAGGTATTTTATTTGGTACTGATGTGAAATTAAGAATCAGGATTCTCCATATTCTTTCTTACGGGGAAAAATATCAAATGCACATGCATAGAGTATTAAAACAAATTCCTAAAAAAATTCTTGTTGGTGACTTTAAGGTCTGGTTTTTAGATCATTGTGGATATTGGACATCCGGATCTCAGATTTTATACAATATTATCATTTAAATAGGCTATTTGATATTTCTCTGATTTAATTGCTTCTCGTAAATTATAACGTGATAAACCACAGTGTGTCTTATAGGCCGGAAAATATGATACTTTTCCTTTATGTCCTGCCATGCATTTTAGCAGTTTTTTTTAAAATTGTAAATAATTTCTTTATAATTATAGGAATAGTTTATAAATGGCAGTTGCATAATGGAGTATATATTTTTTAAGTTAAACTTATTTTTTTAATATAGAGTCACATATTTGATTTGTATAACTTAAATTAAGTGCACAATTTCTTCTGTTTTTTAGTCATCAGACAATAAAGAATATTTTAGAGTAACCAGAATTAAATGTTGGAGGATTACCACCTCTGTAAGTTACTGTAATTTCTTTTAAAACAGTTGAATGATTTTTAATTTCCATTTATTTTTGAATTCTGATTTTTATTATATTTATTTTGTTAAAGGTATTTAAGGATAAACATAACTTCTGTTATTGAAAATCATTTGAAAAGTTAAATATCCATTATTATTATTATTTAATGCAGTTGACAGATTCGGATGGAAATCATGGATCTTTAGTTAAATTGAAACTTGAGTTATCATTTGAATACCTTATCAGCAAAGATCGTTTGAGATGGATTTGTATCAACAGTGACCAGGTATGTTAATGTAACTTATTTTATGTTTCAAGTTATTTAAGTGGTAATGATCAAAATTTTATTTATTATATTAAGAAGTTTTGTGTTTTAAGAAAGAACTTTTGTATTATTTTTTAAATGTGCTGAACATAATCAGTATATCATATATTATTAATTATCACATGAAACATGTATATGCAGTCCTCCACTGAGGGCTACCAGCAAATTTTTTTTCATTTTCAAAATTTTTTAATTATTTCATGGGGTAACATGAAATTTTGAGATAAATTATCTTTTGTATTAACCATTTCCTTATAGATACGTTCATTCAATAACATGCATCATAACCTCAATAATCATATCATAACATTCAATAATCTATAGGAAATTTCTTCGTTTTGGCAAAAAATTATATCGAACACTAAAACTTAATCCATGAAGTACGATTTGTAACCAGATTTCAATTTGAATTCAAGATTGTTTTGTGATTCTCTTTTCTACATTATTTTGTGTCTACAAAACATTCACTTGTGTTATTATTGTTCAAAAATGGATTTCTAACCCAATCCACTGTTTCTGGTTCAAGGAAATCTGTAAATCTTGCTGGTATATTTTTATGGAACATATGTAAACTATTATAAAAAGTGTTTTACTTGCCCAAATATTTTATTTTTGCATCCAATTTACAATAATTGTGGCATAATAGTTTTCATATAATCTTATTTTTATTTAAAAAATGCCAATTTTTAAATAAATAAAAAAGTTTATTTCAAAAAAAATTTGCACCTGTGTCTTGAAATTTATTATTCAAGACATTAAATTTTATTCCTAGTATTGTTAATGTGTGCAATATTAGATTTTATTTTGTGCTTATAATGTAAATGAACATCTTCTCTTCAAAAGTTTTGATAACATTAAGGGGGAGAAAGAGGAGGAGGTAAAACGTGTAAATTATTTTAAAATGTTACATTTCAGAACTATCAAACTTCTGTGTGAGCAACAGTCTCTAAACATTATTATGTGTAAAATGATTACATTCTGATATTAGTATGCTGTTATAACAACATTGATGCTGATATTGTTTCCATCTTGGAAAAAAAAAAAAAAAAAAAAAAAAAAAACTTTGTACTGCCCCTTCTTGATGTTTAATACCACTCTGAGTAATTCTAATATTACTTAGTTTGTGAAAACATGGATGTAAATGATCTCATGAGGAATTCTAAAAGTCAGGTTCCTAAAGATAATCTTAAGAATCTATTCTCTTCTTAATAATTAAAAAAAAATATTTTTAGCAGAAATCCAGCCCATAATACAGTTACAAAGTCCGAAATCCAGATTTGTCGAGACTTTGACAATTCCGGATTTGAGATTTTTCTGGATATTAGATCATCAGTTTGGTTACATCAGTTCAATTCGGTTTGAGATGTGTGCAAAGCAGATCCGCAGCAATGGAGCGAAATTACTGATTGTACATATATATGCTAAAATGATTGTTTCTTCAGTAACAAGGTATTTTATTTAGTGTCGATGTAAAATTAAGAATCGAGACTCTTCAGATGTTTTATTATGCGCTGAGGGGGAATCAAATGTACATGCATAAAGCCTACGAGAAAACATTGTTGGTGGTTTTGAGGTCTGGATATTAGATCATTCCATATCATGGACGTCCGGATTTTGAACTTTGTACTGTATATTGATATCAAGAACAATAGAAATTAATAATTACACTTAAATTTATAAATTACCAAAATCATTACCTCAAACTTTCTGTTAGCTTGCTAGTACAGGGTAGTCACAAAATCACCATGAAGTGCTCTATGGTCATGCAGTTCAGGTTCTTAACTTCTAGCACCAAAAGAAAAACATAGATGGTCACAAATGCCAATGCACTGAAGGGTACTGTGCCAGACAATCATGAGTCATCAATACTAAAAACTGGACTACTACTACTCTATTGCTTTGTCTCGATTCTTTTATGCAATTCTGCTTTATTTTTTTGATTAAGAACTTTGATATACAATCTCATTGAATAATAAAAAATCTTAGTGTGTTGTAGAAGTTTTGAGCACTTTTATGCTAATATTTTGTTATCAGGAAAACATGCAAACATACCTTTAACTGAAGGAGATATATTGTCAAACTTTAGTCATCAAATTCTTGTTCCTTAAACATCCTTGTTTTGACAATCATCCGATGTTTGATTCAGTGATTAAAAAGCTTCTTTGCAAATAATGTTTTAAGTGTGTTATGTATGTATTGCAATTCTAAATACTTCATTTGCTATTTGTTAGTTCTGTGTTATTGTTTGTCAACATTCAGGAAATATTTTTCCTTAAATTTCAGTTTTAAAATATTTTTATCAAATTTCCCCAAATGATTCATCTACAGATTTGGGGTGCAAATTTATCCTTTCCTCTCCATTTATGTATCTGACATCAGTTTGATTTATATTGGGTCATATGAAAAGTTATGCATTTCTTCAAAGCTTTTTTTCCTCCCAGTTATTTTGCTATTGCTAATATAAAGTGACCTTGATTTAAGTGGATGTTTAAGTATGGCCCTGTTCACATTGCATAATTCTAGAATGTGTAGCAACATAATTTTTTTCAGTGTAGTCCTAAGAATGAAGAACCCCAAAGTTTATTTTCATCACATTTTTCCCTTTTGTTTAATATATATATGTAAGATAAAAATGTATGAATCAGAATTATAATATAATTATAAACATTAATTCTTCCTCTCTATTCTAAAATCGTAATAACTTATCTGCATTGCGTCATTCAAATTAATCATGCGATCTTACGTAACCGTGAATAGCAGGTGCTTCTTGACAACCAATCACCGAATTGTAAACCAAAACTTTTCTCTTCGAGGGCTTCCATCTTTCATAACGACGCACTTCAGCTTTTGCCCTCTACTTTGCTAAGATGTAATTTCGCTGGCTTGCTTTCTATCTCAACAATATCAAAAATGTAAATCTTCTGTGGAAAGGCACGACTAGAGTGCCAAGTGATGGTGGCCACAAATACCAATTGGAAATAAAAATGGAATTAAAACTGCCTCGACTGTCAAGTTCTTTAAATACTACGCAATCAAATTCTTCTTCAGTATGGGTCTAATCAAGCATCAACATTGCTCCGGCTTTTTCTTGTGATTTTATTATTACAATTAAGCCGGTAAGGATAGTTTCCTGCAGCCTGAAACCTCAATGGAAAATTTAATTCAGCTCTTCAAATCATCGTTTTGTGATAAATCCAAGATAATGTGAAAGAAGTGAATCATCAAATTTGTTTTTTCAGTGTTTAAAAAATAACAGACCATTCTTCTGCTGTGGGGTGGGGGGGGGGGGGGGGGGGGGGGGGGGGGGGGGGGTGCAAGTGCTTCAAAAAAAAAAAAAAAAAAAATCACGCGTAGTGTTTACAAATTGAAAGTGATCTCTCGATAAATTGAGAAGTTCGAATGAGTAGTGAAAAGGAAATCATCAGTGAAGCATTACAGCGTATTCAAGGTCGATCCGAGTTAGTGTTTGCAAGTATGTGCGACAGAAGATTATTTGCACTTCCGCTTTTTCAACAGCTCAAAAATTATTCCATTCGTGTGAATCTAGCTCAGGAACTAAATTATTTAATGTGCTGCGGATTCTATAGTTTTCATTTCAACTTTGGTTAAAATTTCTGCAATTTGTTTTGAGAAATCTGAAATTCTTGTTTCATTAATATTTCTAATTTTTTTTTTCATAATTATGTGTGAGCAAATTAAGTAACGAATTTTAAGCTATTTAAATTATTCATAGGGAAGGATATAAAGATAAGTTTTTTATGTTTTTGAAGTTTTGTTGAGAATTTTGAATACAAATTTTATAATTATTCTAAAAAATGAAGTAGGTGTTAAAAGTAAGTAAAAATTATTACAGATACGTAATATGAAATTATGATAATGCATGTTAAATTTATGGGTGATTGTATGTTAAGTATAGTGTATGTTCGAGGGAGTATTGGTTCCTTCAGAGGCCTGTTATTACCTCTGTACAGTTGTTCCTTTTACCCCTCTTCATGCAAAATAATTGGGAGGCTCTCATTTTATGAGTGTTTGTAATTGTTTTATATTATTATTATATTTTTTTATTATGGAATGTATTAGTGCAGTTCTCAAAGGCCAGTTACCTTAATGCAAGGAACGGATGCCTTTTCAAGTAACTGTCTAGGCACCCTGGGCCACCAGTGCAGAGGACACACTGGTTAGCTCAAGAGGACAGCCCTCTTGATGGATATGTTTGTTTAGAAGTATTGCGAGGCTTCCAGTTTGGTAAAATCAGGAATTGTAAATGAAAGATGATAACAGTGAAACCATAAATTCTGAAAATCTTAATCCTATTATTTATGATGTTAAATTATAACTTATCAGTATAAAAATTAATATCATAAATATTTATGTGCATTACATTTAATTATAAGTAATGATTATGTAAAAGTTTATTTTGTGATATTCTGCGATAACAAGAACTTTCCCTGAAGAATTATGATTATGTGAACTCTCAAACAAAAGACTTTTTGGACTGAAATGTTGAAAAATTCAATAGGACTCTAAAAATTAAGAATCTATTTAAAAAAAATTATATTTATAAATAATACTTTACACGATCAAAATTTTTATTATTTATTTATATTTTTTTAAATTTGCTTGTGCTTTAACTCTTTTTCTTTAAAAAGGGCTTCTCTGTCGCTATGCCTTTTTCTTTTTGAAGGGGGGAATATGTAAGATAAAAATGTATGAATCAGAATTATAATATAATTATAACATTAATTCTTCCTCTCTATTCTAAAATCGTAATAACTTATCTGCATTGCGTCATTCAAATTAATCATGCGATCTTACGTAACCGTGAATAGCAGGTGCTTCTTGACAACCAATCACCGAATTGTAAACCAAAACTTTTCTCTTCGAGGGCTTCCATCTTTCATAACGACGCACTTCAGCTTTTGCCCTCTACTTTGCTAAGATGTAATTTCGCTGGCTTGCTTTCTATCTCAACAATATCAAAAATGTAAATCTTCTGTGGAAAGGCACGACTAGAGTGCCAAGTGATGGTGGCCACAAATACCAATTGGAAATAAAAATGGAATTAAAACTGCCTCGACTGTCAAGTTCTTTAAATACTACGCAATCAAATTCTTCTTCAGTATGGGTCTAATCACGCATCTACACTGCTCCGTCATTTCTTTTGCTTTTATTATGACATATATATATATGTATGTATATATGTATAAAAAAATTCTAACCAGACTTCTCGTAAAGGTGTTATATATTGTAGAAGTGCTGTTTATGATAGCACAGTTTGAAATGGAAATTTCAGCCCTGAAGACGAGCCTGCTGAGGATGATCTGTAAACAGGAACCTGTTAAAAGAAGTGTTCACTGAAAATCCATGTTATACAGTACAGAAATTATCATACAGCATAAATATTTTACATGTAGTTGCAGTACATGGTCATTTGAAGAAGATTGGCTATGTAAGCTGCTATGATGAATGGGTACCTTATACTTTTACAGAGCAGAATATGCTTGCTTGAGTTTTGGCATTTGATTTTTTGCTGCAAAAAATAAAGAAGTTCCTTTTTTAAAACAAAAATGGAAATTAATGGAAATGAGAAGTGAATATTATATTATACAGTAATGTAAAAAGGAAAAGATCATATATTATAAATTATTGCTATGAAATCGGGCAGTAAATTCAGGAAAATACTATTCTCAAAAGGCAGTTTTAAAAAGAAGAAACCAAAACAAAGCTCTCGGAACTGACAATCTTCAAGATATTGTGTTCTAACATATCAATGCTTAGCCTTACATTCCGATGAATCTCAGTGTTCTTCTGTTCAAGCCACTTCAAAATTCTTTGAATAGCTTGGTGTTTATGTGTTTCGAGACTGTTAATAACTTTTTTTTACAAAACCCAATGACTTTTTTTAAGAAGAAATTATCCATCTGCCTAAGAGATGGCAAAATAGTCATGGAATAAAATGTTGCTTATGCGAGTCAAAGAATGTTTGTTACATTTTTGCACTGCTTCATTTTTATTTATTGTCAAAAAACTTCAGAACTTTTCAGATGACATCATCAGTTTTCATGATAGTAACATATATGCTAAAACAATCTGAGGATTCTTATTGGCTAAAGCATATGTTAAAATTATTTTAGAATTCTTGTTGAGTAATCCTATTTCATCAGTGATGATCTTGATCAGGATATTTACGAAAATTCAGTTCTTGGATTAAAAAGTTGCTTTTGTGTACTTTTTTGGTGAGAGGAGGTAATGTATTTTATACATTTTCATCAAATTAAGCCTTGATTTTTCTTTGTAGTGTTTCATGTGATTTTGTAGTTGTTCTTTTATGATGTATGAAATATTATTCTTGTATGTAATACATAGTTTTACATTTTCATAACAGGCTATATTGATGAGTGTGTGTTTACAAGGAATGGTGGATGAATTATTATTAAAAAGGCGGGGTGTTAAAGCTGGAGAAAAGAATGAAAGATCTGGCCGCAGAGGATCCTGGAATTACATGAAAAGAGATGGCAGCAGCCATCAGATATCGTCTTCCGTTGGCCGTTCTGTGTCTACTGATGGTATTGTTCACAGTGCCAGTGTGAGTGCCATTTCCTTTTTATGTTTCTAAAATTCTGTATGTATAACTGCTTAATGAATGTAAAATTTTAAAAGTAGTTAGTATTATGTGTCATTTTTATTTGTTTCACTTTAACACGGGTTCTCAACCAGACGAGGATTTTATAATTTCGGGAAGGGGGTGCTCAGCTTGACTCCACCTGCTTCCTGCTATGCTATAAATAATCTGAATTTAAAAAAAAATATTTTTTTTTTTAAAGTTTTGTGAAAGAAGTAATGAATGATTTTCTAGCAATGCTGGAATGGGTGCTTGGGATATAAAAAGCTTAAGAACCATTAAGAAAAAGGTTGAGAATTCTTACATGGCCTTTATTTTCACAACCGCTGGTCGTAGATTAAGACATCCAGTTACAAGAAAGGTTTTTAATGATGCAAAGCTTCATGTTTTTATGGTATTAATTTTTTAAAAGACTTATGTTTTTATATAAATACAAAATATAAGTTTTTATACTTTTTTCTAGCCACTAACATATATTTAAGAATATTTTGTACTCATAAAAACATTAAACACAAAAAAGTTGAATCTGGTACAACGAAGGACCAAGATATTCGGCATTAAAGTCATCGTAGACCAAGATATTTTATATTAAAATCATCATGAATTATATTTAGGGGCCGTGCATAAATTGAAGAGGAAATATTTGCATGCGTACTTAACTGCAAATAAAATACCAGTTTAGGAAAAAGTTTCAGATGTTGAGAGATGAAGTAAAGAGCATCAATCAGTAATAACTCGATTAATTAAAAATGAAAAATATATGTAGTTTGAGGAATATGTTGTTTGATTACCAGATAATGGATCTAAAGCTACAAAAAACTTTATGAGAATATTAATAACATGCTTTTAGACTTCGAAAATGTATAAATTACGTGTGGGAAAATTCCTATGGCGTACCAAACATAATAAAACTATGAATTAAGCAGTCTAGTAAATCACACAAATTTACCAAACATTTACCTTGAATCAAACATTACCAAACATTTCCTAGGAGGGGAAATCAACTTAAAATTTTTCAAATTTATTTGCTAACTGACCCATAATTACAAATTAAATATGATGGTTGAAGCCAGAAATTTTGAAATTAAATATCTCAGTCAAATTGTTACTACTAGATCAAATTGTTTGCGTTTTATTTTTTATAACAAGTGCAACATTTTCCTTAATAAGCATATAAAGACAGGAGAAATGCACAAAAAGTTAGATTTCATAATTTGTACAAAATCAGTTTCTTTAAATTTAAAAATGCCAAAACATGACAATCTTTATTCATTTAAAACATTTTTGTAATTGGAAAGTCTATGACTGTGACCAGTGGTTTTGAAAACTATGGCCCGGGTAAGGACTATATTAGACAATGTGCATATTTCAGATATTTATTATAAAATTTTGTACTACTGGATAAAAAATAATGCCTAAGCATTATGTCATTATCAGGTGTCGCTGTTGTTAACCCTATGCAATTTTTTTTTTTTTTCTTTTTGTATTTTCCAGGGACAGTGTTGTTTTATGCTGATGTTTTGTGATAGTAGACAGACAGTCTTATCTTTTTAAAATCATATATTTTTTTCCCTTTTTGGACCCTATTAATATGCTCCCTGTTAACTTGGAACTGACTGTACCTATAAAATATGAATACTTATAAAATTATTCATATTTTAATGTTAAAGCAGCCATATGATAGATTAATTAAAGTTTTTGACATCAGAATTCAATAAATAAAAAATTTAATTTTAATTCATTTTAATTAATCATAAGTGTACATAAAATTGATGATTTAATTATGTACCCTTTATTGCATAACATAAAATTACCACATATTTCTGAAATAAAATTTTAAATTTATTTTGAAATTTTTCTCTTTGTTCTTGATTTAAATCATTAAGGTCTTCTGTAAAGCAATTTAAATGGCTGTGTAGGCAGGGGTCTCTTTCAGAGATTTCTGATATTTCATTTCTTTCTTTCATTTGCAGTAGTCTTAAAATCTGTAGTTCGTTGTTAAGCGTTAAGGAAAGGAAAGGCTTTGAAGGAAATTTTGATTACAGATTCTGAAAAAAAAAAAAAAAAAATGGCTAACAGTTTTATCACACTTTATCTCTTAATGAAACTTAAAACCATGAAAATTCCATTTTTTACTCCAAGGGATTTTTCAGCATAATTCTGTGACTAATTCTTATTTAACGTGATCTGTTTTTTAATCTATTATGGAGATTTATAAAACTCTTTCTGAAGATTTAACTGACATTTAGTTGGTAAACATTAGTATTTAATTTTGTGTTAAGTCTTTAAAATGGTGCAGTACTAAGTTTATCCATGGGATTATATGCACATTAATTGCTAATTTGATTTTTATCATCTTTGATGCTCTCTAAATGCTTTTCTTTTCTGCTTTTTTTTTTTTTTTTTTCCCACATGAGTAAAATTTGAAGAAATTTCAAAATCAGATGAGATTACCCCCCAAAAAAGCATAGATTAAAATTTAAAAAAAAATATGAAAGGATTTAAGATTTTAGCATTTCGCCATAGGGTTTGTTAAGGTTTTATATGCTCTTGATGAGTTTGCAGTCTGATCATTTGTTAAGGTTTTACATGCTCTTGTTGAGCATGCTATCTGTCTGTTCTTGGACACAGTTTTGTTGACACAATTTTTTTTTGACTTTTTACTTTTATAATTAAACATAATTTTCTTAGCACTTACACAGAATAAAATTCGATAGCAAAGTCATAAAAATATTTAAAAAAGTGTATCATTACAATTTTACATTTTTCAGCCAGAGAGGCTAATTCTCTTGAACTTCACTTTTGTATAGTATCACTTTTGTTATCTGTTTCACTTTTCAAACAACTAGCTGCTGGCATGGCCAGTCACTTAAAATAGCTACTGTAAAAATAATAAAATACATATATCATGCTTTTTATAAATCCAGCTAGTGTCATTTCATGGTTCCAGCTGATAATTAATAAAAAAGAAATTAAGGGTTGTGTTTATTGCTTTCAAGTTGCTTAGTTCAGTAATCAATAACATTCAGATTAAATTTGAAAGAAAAAATAAATATCTTATGCTTAGTTAAATAGCAACAAGCTGGTGCATGAAAGTTAAAAATATTTTATATTCAGCAGTGGCAACACATTTATTTTTGCTCAGTGACAACGCATTTATTTGAATTAATTAAATTTTTTGATTAAATTTAAAACAAAAGTACCTTGCGCTTTGCCAAGAGGCAACACATTGTTTTAGATTTTCCGGCACAGTGTTATACCTTACTATTAATTCTTTTCAGTCTTTTTGCATTCATCATAACAATGTTTAATTTTCTTAATTAAGATGACTAACACAAGAGTTTGTGTCTGCTATTATGACATTTTGTCTTTATTTATTAAACAACACTTTTTTTCACACTTACGCCACATAAAATTCAACGGTACAATAGCAAAACACTTCAAAACAGTATCTGTACATGTTTAAATCTTGATAAAGTGTTAAATGTTGCCATACATTTTTTTTATGTTCATAATGTTATTTATTTTAAAACAATGCATGGTTGATAACATTTGGTGGTATCACCCTTTTATTTGGGTTTTCATATATTTTTTTTTATATTCAGTACATTTTTTTCTTTAAAAATAATATATAGAGATAACATTTGTTGGAAACATCCATTTATTTATGTTGCCATATATTTTTATTCACTATATTATCTGTAAAAATAGTCTGTGGTGATAAAATTCAGTGGCAACATTTGAAAAATACTGAGATAACATTTGTTGGAAACATCCATTTATTTATGTTGCCATATATTTTTTATTTACTATATTATCTGTAAAAATAGTCTGTGGTGATAAAATTCAGTGGCAACATTTGAAAAATACTGAGATAACATTTGTTGGAAACATCCATTTATTTATGTTGCCATATATTTTTTATTTACTATATTATCTGTAAAAATAGTCTGTGGTGATAAAATTCAGTGGCAACATTTGAAAAATACTGAGAAAAATTTGAGGTTTGAGATTAATAGCACCTTTTCTTGGAGAACAACAGTGTTTGCATTTTTCCTCTGTCCTCTCTTAGCTATTTTTAAAATCTGCATTGATTAAGGAAAGTACTAATAATTTTGAAATGTACGTAAATCACCTGATTTTCTTGATGCTTCATTTTTTTAAGGACTAAATTGATAGTGTTTCTTTCATACTCGTATAATGACTGATTAGAATGAGCTTAATTTGTTGCCATTGTGTAATCTTTGATTATAATGTGCGTTTTTAATCTAAGCTGATTATATTATATTTCCAAAACTAAAGCTGATGTGAAGGAAATGATGCTATTTTTAAAGTTAGTGTTCAAAATATATCCATAAATAAGTTTCATTTCTAAAGCAGTAGTGGTAAATAACTTTTGTATCTGTATCACTTTTGAAATGAAGGGACACTGCCAACAAATGTTACCACCATGTATTGTTTTTAATGGGATAATTTTATGAGGATAAAAAAGTGTACAGCAAAGCTTAAAGCCTTATTGAGAATTTTAAACATATGCCACTTTAAAAAATTTGTGATTTTGCAGTTGAATTTTATGTGGCGTAAGTGTGAATGAAGTTTAATGATTTAAAAAAAAAAGAAGAGGTTGCATAGGTTAAGAAAGTTGAACACTGATATGATAAACAGAAAAACTCTTGGGGGGGGGGAAAGGAAATATATCGCCACCCTTAATATTCCATTGAAAATTCTAAAGATATACTGTCTTCAAATATTTTGTGATTTTACTGTAGAATTTTGTATAAAGTAAATGCAAAGAACATGATGTTTAATAATACAGTGATGAAAAAGAGTTACGTCAGTAGAAGTGAGTTCAAGAGCAGATTGATAAATTCCAAGCTTAGCAAGCTCATAAAAAATCTTAACGAACCCATAATGTTGCACTAAAATCTGGATCTTTTTAGATTTTCTTTCTTTCTTCCCCCTCT